ATATCATTTCTAAATGTATTTCTATAAAATATTTGCTTAGTTCACAGTGTAAATAAATAGTTTCATTTGAAGTAGGAGCCGTAACCCCTGAAGGTCAAGATAAACAGTAATGTAAATCAACACGCATAACGCAACGCTTTATGTTGATCGTCCCGATTGTATCATAAACGGTCGATTATCTTGTATATTCGGTTTTGAGCTCGTAGGTCGAATGATTCCTGGAATATAACACACAGCCCGCTTTGAAACTGAAAACAGAGAAAGCGTTTTCAAATARATCTTYTTCCAATTGTACTCTATACTTGACTCAGTTGACTCTATCGCGAAGTCGTAGTCGAAGTCGTCTTTCGTATTAATTGAAGTTCAGACAATTTTCAATTCCAAACTCAACAAACTAGCGAAGAACTAGAAGCTAAGAGGAAAATAATAAGGACGATTACTCATCTTACTAGATAAATTGAGCATTCAAAATATTAAATCGAGCGAAATATTTGGAATCAGTTTAAGAATGTCAACAAGCTTAAAGAGGGCACAGGAAGACCAATCTTCGAAAAGTGCAACAAGTATCCACGAGTTCGCCTAAGGGCCTTTTTCTGTGTTCAGTGATGTTCGCTGGGACCAGTGTCTTCTTTTTTCTTTCCCTGGAATTTTTTACATGCCAAACCAGCTTCTGGCTTTTGAATGCTACATTATAAATTATTTTCCAAAATATTTATGAATTAAATATATTATCCTAGTTTGATTTATTTTCCTTTTTTCCTCAAAGTCAACTCCATCATTTTTCTGAGTTCTTGTGACTGTGACATTCGATAAAAACAAAAACGAATTATTCAAAGGAAAATAATTAATGCCCTTTGATGAATTAATTGGAATTGTTCTGTGCCAAAGAAAATACTTTAGATTATTTTACAAATTAATCATGTACTATTGAGAATTAAATCAGAAATGAAATAAGTAATTAAAGTAATCTAGTAATTGAAATTTTTCCTAATATGTAATTACTTTTTAAGAATAAATATACAAGGATTTCTCCACCTAAAATTAACATAGATATATTTTTCCTTGTCTCTAATCACTCATATCAAGATATTTTCCTCCTAAATTTTTTTTAGTTCGCGTTTCCAGTTTTCAATTTGTGTTAGTCACAAGTATATATCTAGTATAGCCTTCCTCAAATGTTGAAGAATTATTTCTTATCACCTTAAGGGTGATGGTACTTAGAGTGAAGGCATTTAACCCGTGAAATAAAAAATACTAGTCAACGTGAAATTGTCAAAAAGATACAAAAGAAAACAATGGAATTTGGGTCTACTAAAGGGTCTTAGTCTAAACATCTATTTCACGAGTTTAATGACTTCACTCTATTAACCTGCAAAATAGATATTAGTCTTGACTAAATAATATACACCTTTTAGTAGTTTCTGCTTCTATTGTGTTTTTTGTTTTGTATTGACTATTGGTCATGAAGTATTTATAGTTCCGTCTCTGACAATAGCAGATTCAACTTCAGAATACCTTGTCAAATTGTATGCACACATTAAGCCCCTATTGTTCTTCTATTGTTATTGTATCATTTTCAAAAATAATACTTGATTAATTATACTTAGCTGGGTATTCTGAGGTTGCCGGCTCAATAGCAAACCAATAGGATGTTTGCACGATGGCGTCATTTGACTCCCACTACCATAATGCTTCGCGAAATTTCTTTCTTATTTAAATTTGTATTCCCTAATGAGAATAGTAAGACAATTGGTGGTAATTAACTGAACAAAAGAAAGTGTGCAAGGGAGTCTGGTAGTAGAGGTCAATGACGCCATCGTGCAAAGGTCCTATTGACACTGTAGATGCAATTTTCCCAGTGGAATTAAAATCTTGTCCCTCAAACAACTGTTTTAAAGAGTAGTACAAGGATTCTTTAGGCAATTTTCAATTGTTTTCACAGGACAGTAAACTATTGAAACAATTTATCAATTTTCAGCAATCAATTCAGTTTTAAATTCAGAGATATTCTAGATAATTTGTCGGGCTTGTGGGACACAGCAACAGTAACTAAGGGGAGTTGGAACCATGAATTAGATTTTTATTTCACAGTTTCAAGTGCCATCACTCTGATAAATTTAATTAGTTAATTCAAGACTAAAAATTACTTCCAAAAGCTATATTTTCTATCCTATCTCTTTCTATTCCTCTGCATGATGCATGGGAACTTGACGTTTATGTTATTATGGAACATTTAAAGAACAATATTATATTTCAAAGATATTAAATTATATTTACCATGTGCTGGAAACAAAAAAATATCAGTATTATTATAAATATTATCCAATATTATTATAAATTACTGTCAGTTATTGTTGCAATATTTTTGGGGTGCAACCATATGACTTTAAAAATATATTGACATATAATAACAATGAATTAGCTACTATGTTGGTTGATCTAACAAGAGAAGCTAATGAGGAATGCTTTGTAATTGTCAATCAACACTGTGGTTATCACATAACATGCACCCAAAAGATACAGCTTAAACTCAGTTTATTTTTAAGTTGTGTTATCTTAATCATAATTACATCTCATAAACCTACATGCAAGCGTTTGTCCAGTTTTCTTGCTTTGTTCTTTGTAAAGTTCTTAGTAACAAAGAGCAGATTTCTTTGAGACTGAAAAAATCTTGGCTCAAAATCCTGCTTTCATTCTGCCAGCTGTATCCTCTTTGGATAACTAATGAAATATCATGTCTAACTTGGTGGATTTTAATTCAATCTTCATTACTGAACTAAATGCCACAGATTTTACTTAAACATAACTTTTTCTGAGGTTTGCACACCCATCTCAATCTAAGTAAGACTGTTTGGGTAAAATCTGCTGGTTAAACATGCTTTGGAAATTTCCAATGTGCAAAATCTCAAAATCTGTTTACTTGATGTGACCAGGAAATTTTGGATGGGTACACAATCTTGAGGAAATGTTCTGATTTTGTCATGTTAGGATTATGGTACCAAAATAGCTTGGACATTGCCAACTCTGATATCTGTCAATCAAACTTGCAACAATCAAGCTAATTGGCTTATTTCGTCGTCCCATAATCATGAAATAGGCTTATTCAGTAAAAATAGTTTACATGATGGTTTCATCATACTACAACTACCAGAATGCTTAGCAAACTTTATTTCATATTGAGCTTCAAGGTTACAAGAATAGTAAGACAATTTGTGCAAACAAAACGACAGTTGTTGCCAACTGAGAAAACAAAGTTTGCAAGGAATTCTGGTAGTTGCAGTAAATGATACTGTGATGCAAATGGTCTATTCAAAGTTGTTTATATAGTTCTTATTGTCTTGCAAATGCATAAATTATCTACTGAGATAGATGTAAATAGTGTAAATTGTAATCCCAGGAGGTGTACTCGGGTGGGTAACATGACGGGGAGGTCCGACATATTTTTTGGGTTGACAATTTTCGTTCCCAGTATTTTTTTGGGTAAAGAGACCGGCCACGTATTTTTTTAGGTCTCGAAATGAAACCCGTATTTTTTTGGGTCGTTGCATCTCCGAGTTTGATTTTTGTATCAGAAAATTATTTGAAGAGCCTGTTGAATTCAATAAATCAGTTTTGAAGTATCTAAGTCTTGTATATTTTTGGGGGTCAGAAATTTGGATGCAATGTATTTTTTTGGGTGTAAAATTTCAGGTTTGAGTATTTTTTGGGGGTTGCAATATAAAGGTCTGTCGGACCCCCACCCACCCACCCCCCCCCCACCATGTTACCCACCTGAGTACACCCCCTGGGATTGCAATACAGTTTTTATAATAAAAAGTTTGCTTCACAATTGGTGTAAAGAAAACAAAAAAGGAAAAAATAAAATGTCCAAAACCAATCGGAGATTCTTTTTGTTATATCTGTAATGTTACAGGCAACCCAAACCTTGAATTTAAGAAGAAACAGAAAATTTTAAATAATTTTAAGACAAATTATAATAGCCTTTTTTTTTACTTTGGTGTAATGTTTCCCATTTCAGACCACTTATTATTCTCTTGTTTGAGTCTTATCCATATAGACCCCAGGCATGTGACGTCAAAGCAGCTCGATCCGGGGGACAAAGCAAAAGAATTGCACTCTCCTGAGAACTGAAAACCTATTGTTATGTTCTCCAAATTGAGCTGCATTCCAATGTGCTGCAAGGGGTCTTTTCAAGTGTCTTTCCATGTGCAACTGTTAACAAAAAAATTACAGGAAATGACACGTCTGAAAATATTATACCCAAGCTAAAATATGGTTTATTATAGTGAATGTATCTATTTTATGCACACATTCAATCATGCAAAGGCACACAATCCTGCTTTACAATTGTGATCATTGGTACTCACCAACCTACCCCTCCCTCCATTGCAATTCTTTTGGCTATTCAAGTTTAAACTAGCCACATGGACAAAAGCCTGCTTTGGTCTCCTGGACTGGACTATAAACGCAATACTATACACCGAATCGAAACTGGCAACCATTTTGAATGACTTTATTCAAATTTGTTGCCATATTTCGATTAACATAGGGCGTAATGCTTTCCCATTTCAGACGTGTCATTTTATTCTCTTGGGAGTAAGATTCTTTGTTTAAGTTTTATCAAGAGAAAATGCTCATTTTCATTTTCCCTTGGTCGTATCAATATTCGGGCGTCTTCTCATGTACAACTAACCTGTAAACAAAGAAATGAACTCAAGGGAATGACGCGTGGTCTGAAATGAAACCAAAATTGGGTTTCCTGTGGTTAACATAAAATACCACAGGAATCCCAACACCAGTGAGTTATATTATTTTATCCAGAGTTAACTCTGTTTTATCTTATCTGATTGTGACGTTTGAACGAAACAATTAGTGCTCCCGGACAAGATGTCTCGTATATAAGAACTAAAAAGAGCGATAACCGCTTTATTAACGAAGAAAATCGATCTAGCTTGTTCTTTCCTTTTCACATAATATTAATAACACGATGATGTTGATAATGGTGGGTGGTGGTTGTGGTGTAGATCATATACTTTAAGTTAACAATAGACTTTAAGTTAAATTAAATGCTGTATGTCGTTACCTGCATTACATACACCTTGTTGATTTAAAATTATTTTATTTAAATCAAAAAAAAAAGACGGATTTTGAGTAAAATATTTTTAGCCCAGCGATTTTCGTTATTAATAATACCCTTGCAAATATGCTTGGCGATTTATTAATGAAAGAGAAAAATACAATACATACTACACAATACCACACAATACCAATGGTTTTTACTGATAAACCTTACTCTGGATGCGAGAATTTTAGAAAAGACTCGTTAAAAATAAGCACAGTCGTTTTCGTGATTAAGAAACTCAATTTTAAAATGAACTTTTCCGGAGGATATATATATATTTTGATAATCATTCATTCAAAAATCATTTAGCCTTCTAACTGCATTTGTTTTTCAAAAGGCTTTTAGGCAATTTTTGGATTAATACGGAGGAAATGTTTTGAAGTTGAATGAATAAGAAAAAATGAGTGTTTTATTCATAGTTATGATAATAACAAAGCCTTGAAACAAGTTTTAACAGCAATCAATTATGACACGATCAATATTCAAGTGCTTACAGGAAATAGCTGAAAACGTATGACAACTTCTTTGCACGAACCGACTCAACTTGCTAAGGCCTGCTGACTGTGAGAACGCAGGGCCGGATTCAGGAATCTGAAAAAAAGTGTGGCGGGGGTATCAAAAGACGAATCTCACCACTGACTATGCAAAACAAAACCAGAGGAAGTGAAGAGTATGCTTTCAATGAAATTCTTAATTTTTTTTTAGGAGTGCTCCTGGTTTTTGTGATATTTCGGACACACAAAAATACTCCCCAAACTAAAATGGGGAGGGGCGGGGAAGGGGGCGGTGGTCCCATCGCCCACCCCCTAAATCCGCCCCTCGAACGGACAAGAGGGACTCGAGGTGCTTTCAGGTTTACTGAGGTCCGAAGATCCTGATTGCATTATTGGTGACATTTCTTACTCTAACAGATCGAACTTTAATTATAGGTGTTTCCCCTTTTTATCACGTACTTTCATCCTCGGGAACCTAGGGGTAAAATTCTAGATGCATGCGTGCCATTCGTTTGAATCTTAATTATTTTTTTTTCTTTTCTTTTCTTTTTTGTCAACTGGTAACGCTTTAAAAAGAAAGAATTAAGAATTTAAAACTTATTGTCAAGAGGTCTGTTTTAAAGCTAAAGACATACTGGCTGCACTGAACGACTGCACGCAGGCCATGTTACATTGAAATGAATTTTCAGCGTCTTGTAGTAATAACTGATGTGTGTGTTCAATAGCACTGCTCTTGTACAAATTCTTATGACGAAACTCAGTTTTAAGATTCGCGAATAATTACAAATGACAAATGAAAACTGAACGACAAACAAAAAAGCAAAAGCGGATTCGATCAAATTCGTTTTCTCTTAGAGAAAGCATTTCTGAAAAGTTTTCTTCTGTTTCATTGGGAACCATTTTTCACTTGTTGCTTTTTCGGCTTAGATTTAATAAATATTATTTTAAACGAACAAAATCTTTAATTATTTATATGATAAACTGGTCGTTATATTATTTTAAAAGTAGCAACAAGGGAACAGGTTATTCATATTTTTATTTAATGTTTCCTGTATTAATATTCGTGACAAAAGGTGGAATGTCCCCAACATAATGAAGAGTTTTCTAGATAGAATAATTAATTTAATTTTTTTTTACTGATGTTGGTAAAAACATAAGTAGGATTGCTTCTACAACTGTGATTCAAGTTTTTATTTTCATTTTTCCCTTCAAATCAGTAACGACTTGGTTGATATAAGGAAGCTACAGTTTGTTTGCTACAGCTACGTCAGTCGCCTCAAAAGAGGCCAAGCTGTCGGTCAAATCTCTGTTTATTCATCTGTCCACACTACGTCATTAATCATAATAGCATGCAAAACACAAATGTGAATGGATAGCTTGAATTACCATGGAAACCATCAAACATTGCTTTCTTTTCGTCAACCAGGAAAACCGAAATGAGAATTAACATTATAAACTAGTAACCATAACAACGGCACCTCCAGCGAGCTGCTTGGCTTTTAGTGTTAATCAGTTTAGAGGATTTTCAACGTTGTGACAAGTTTCTTTCTTAACCTGTTCATCTACCCAGTACACTTTCACATTTTTATTCCAAAAGTTTTGATATTATTTTATTTACATTGCATGTTTTTTTCGTGCAAATAAATCCTCTTCAAGGAAGTTTCAAGTATTTTTTTCTGTGAGCGTGTGTAGATTATTTTTTCATTATTCTAAACCCGCGTTCTCATACTGTGCTACAACGCTTTTCGTGGACTGAATTACTTAGTGCCCAAGAAAACGCTGAAAAAATAAAAAACCGTCAACAGAATGTCAATATAAACATATAAGAACAGTTTCCTGCTATTCCTGCTAGAAGGATAAAAGCATACGCTCAGGATCTAGGTCAAAGGCCGAAAATATTGTCACCGAAATGTCCCCTCAAATTTTAATTTTAATTTATTTTCCCACCAAGCTCTCTGTTTACAAAAAAAATTATAAATTGTAAAAGGTCTCCCATAGACACTAAAACTTCCCAGCGATCGGCGTTCCCATGCGAATATCAACTAACGTAGTTGAAACATTGAGCTTAGGATTAGTATTGCATGGATTTTCCCATTCTTAAAGAAAGTTGAACCACGGATTAAAACATATCAGTGACAAAGACTGTTAGGGATTTGTTTCTTTTTTATCGACTACATGCAGAACAAGACTGGAAAATTAAATTGTATAATTTGTTTACTGTACGATGTAATTTTCAACACACTCTTAAAAAAGGAAATTTCTTTTTTATCTCATTAACTTTATTGACGGATTTCATCCAATGAAACTTCGTTAAAACATTTGACATGCTTCGTCTATTGTTTTGAAAACAGTATCCCAGAAATAAAGACATAAAAGAATTGTACAAATCTAGAACACACAACGTAACTTCAGGACGCATCAGGTGGGAGAAACGTGCATCTCTACTTTATTAGGGCCAGTGAAAGGGTCAGTGTAAATATCAAGAGGATTCCTTGCCTTTTACGATGTTTAGAAACACTGAAATACAAGTACTCAGTGAATTTCTTTCGCTAATTCACACGAAAATGATTTTTTTCCACCAATCAAAAGTCAGCGATTTACACCCTCGTAATTAAGGAATCACTCAAAAAATACCTTCGAAAAATTGTTGCCGATTTCCTCCATTATTCATTTATCTACGTTTGTGTCAAAGATTTACGTGATGTTTTCAAAATCAAGCCACCAGAAAGTCCCTTACAATCAAGAAAAAAGCATGATCTTTTAATATTGTGTAAATATAATGAATATGAAACCAGAGGGGATTATTGGCGCTTCCGTTGCTAGCCTTAGTTTTATCTGGAAACTAAAGAGAATCCATTCATATTGAAAACAGTAAACAGTATATTTTACACTCTAATTGACCTAGAAAAAATATTAATACTCTTTGTTCGAAGACTATTTAAGATTTGCATTTTTTACGATATCGTTTTACGTTTTAGTCAAGGTTTTTGCATATTGAATTTTATTTTCTTTTGCGATGGCTTTCTAGATCTAACCAAAGCTATTTATCCACTGGAATCATTTGGGAATTCCTCTTCAATTTTCATTCAAATAAAAATAAAAATAAGCACTGGTTATTTGAGATCGAGTCAAATCGTCTTATTAGAACTGTATTGAATCTGCCACATTTGAAAAACTGTTTGTTCAGTACTGACCAACCACATGCGAGATCCTTTATTAATTCTATTTTCTCTAGCCAATGAGAATTAAGTTCAATTGAATCCTATTCAAGCGAACGTAAATAAGGCATTTGGTGTCAGAAGCCGAGTCGTCTCGTCCAATTGCGTTCGTAGTTATTTTGGCGCCTTTTCTCCCGCGGCCGATCTCAATATGAGAAACCAATGAATATTTATCAGGTATTGAAGAATATGCATTTTAATGCGCTTGCTAGCAAAACTCTGTAATTAATTATTAGTTATTTTGTATGTGAAGATAAGTGTCTTGGCAACAGGTGGACATGAGCTCTCGGCAACCACTGACTCGCTAAGGTTTATATTTTTACTTTTCCCAAACAAACTCCGCCTTCGAGAACACCCCGCAAAGCAAGCGAGCCCCCGGTAGACTCGTATCGCAGGCTCTAGAGTTTAGTGTTCGAGCCAGGCGAGTTTTTATCCCTCTTGCTTTCTTCGGTAATCGGAAATGACTGGAAGAATTGTTGTTCGTGCAAAATCCAGCTTCAACCACTAAAAACTAAGCTAGCAGATACAAGCGACATTCGTGTGGGAGTAAATTTGCATGGAAATTTGAAATTCGTGGCTTAGTTTCCGGTGATTTTTCGAAAAAAATCTGAGAGCGATGGGGGCTGTTTGACATTATTCTTATAAAGCTGTGTTGACGAAAGGAGAAAAGACGGGAATTACCAAGGCAGAAGATGAACCATCGTTGTCATCCTCGACTACAACACTCGCCGCTAAAAGCGAACTAGCTGTGAGATGTGGCGAAAAGAAAAACCGATATTATTGCCAAGAAATGCCGAAATCGTTCCTGATCAAAAAAAAGTCCAAGGAATATGCAAATTTTTCTCCGGTTGTCGCAACAGTTCATAACAAGGAGAAAACACGAAAGCATGGTAAGTCGAAGAGTTTTTTCATTTATTCCTATATATAATTTTACTGGGGTTTTGGTATTCTGGGAAAAATTGTGGGTTTTTTTTTCTGGCAAGCCGTTCGCCTCTAGAATTTGTTGATAGTATGTCGAAGCCAGAACACCTGTTGTACTTATTCTCTTTTATTTCTCCCGCTGTTCAGCCTCAAGGGAGGGGGACTCGTCTTCGACGCTAGAAATCTCTCAGTCGAGCAACCAAGCTCAACCTAAAGTTCAATCTACAAACGAATACCAAGAAAATGATTGCGAAGAAATCAAAAGTGAGAGCAGCAGCAACGAAGAGTTGGATGAAAATGGGAACAAAGTTGACACCTTGAAACCGGTTTGTGTCGATGGTCGTACCAAGAGTAATGGATGCAACGAGAACAAAAGTAGATATGTTTGTGCCGAATGTGGAAAATCCTACGCTACATCTTCTAATCTTTCTCGCCATAAACAAACTCATCGGAGTTTGGATGGCAAGCTTGCTAGAAGATGTCACCATTGCGGGAAGGCTTACGTTTCAATGCCAGCTCTAGCGATGCATCTACTAACGCATAAACTGCTCCACAAGTGTGATGTGTGCGGGAAGTCTTTTAGTAGACCATGGTTGCTTCAAGGGCATATGCGCTCCCATACCGGAGAAAGACCCTACGTTTGTCAAGAGTGCAACAAGGCCTTTGCCGATCGTTCGAACCTCAGGGCTCACCTTCAAACTCATTCTCCGCTCAAACAGTTCAAATGCAATCGATGCGACCGCACATTTGCGCTCAAGTCTTATTTAAACAAGCATATGGAATCAGCGTGTTCAAGAGAGGAAAAAAATGGAAGTGTTCCCTGAATCAGGGGTAGATTGTATATAATGGAAACATTACTTCACTATGTGACAACCAGAAAAAAATATTCTCAACGAATCAAATGATAGACTAGAATATAAATACACTGTATAATACGATGGTTGGTACAAACCAACATCTTCCAAGAATCAGAGGAATGAATGACTAGCATTCATAAGTTGTACCAGTTATGCTGAAAAGATGGTAAAATCTTCTCTCCCTCGCTGAGCGAGCGAAAAGGAACTATTAAGGAGATATATTCAGCTTTAAAACCAGTAGATTATGGTAAAATTTTAGTATACCATGGTATTTCATTACGCCTTAGTAACATATGATCGATCCTGGTAAATCTTTCTACGAAAGAATGGAATATTGAAGCTAAAGGATTGGAATTATTTATATGAGCTCAAGCAACAAGTTACAGCTTCTGAATGTATATTGTATATTTAAGGGTAAAAATAAGCGCGGTTAGTTTTTCATTAGGGACCGAAAATGCTTGGGTTTTTAGGGTATAAAATTTTCAATTTGAATCTGCTGGTCGGTTTGCTGTTCGCACGATTTTACATCATCATTTCTAGATTTATTCTGTACAAGAAGAATTTCTTGTTTTTGGTAATATTCTCAAACGCCAGATAATGCTTGTTTGCGGTTATCATACTTCTTCACTCGCTTTCTCAACACTAACATCTAAAAACAGAATCTGTTTTTATTTCAGCTTATCTAGAACTACTTTTCCAGGGTTTTTATAATATATATAATACTATAATATATATTCTGAGCAGAGCTCATTCTGTATGTATATTTTTATGTCATTTATTTCAAACGCACAGGGATAATATAGTGTATGTATCTATGCTTGTCATCCAGCTATCTCTAGCATCTGGAGGCACATTTTAATTGCTAACAAATTTTATTCACTTATAATGCAGATATTTTGGCTGCAATTTCCTGCTTTTAATATTTTTTCAAAATCTGTAAAGAGGTTTTCAGTTTATACCTGACCGTCGGAACAGTGTATACCTAATAGGTCGCCTAGTTACGTGTAGAATTTAGTGTACAGAATCCCAGCTAGCCAGTAATATTGTTTCAAAAATAAATTAGATGACCTCGGTAGATGTTAGACACTCCTTAATAGAAAGATAGGTAAACATTTTTTTAATGAATGTGGTTATATAGCTTTTCAGTGATTCTGTCGTAAGAACACAATGCTCGAATCTCATAAATATAGCGCATACACTTGCCAAGCATGGGAACTATATTGTATGTATTTTTAATATCATTTAGTTTGAGTTCGGCTCAATAGTTGCCACTGTCAGTGCTATGGATTTGCATCGCCCGATGATTTACCAGGGTCCTTTGCTTGGACTAAAGATTTTATCTGTGAACAACCCTGATGTTTTCAACGAAATGTAACTATCATATCTAATCAATTTAATCCAATGTAAAAAAAAAAAAAAAAAAAAAAAARAATTAATGAGGTTTGCGTTAAAACTATAGAATATTCTTTCTTTACCTCAAACTCCATTATTGCCCAAATATTTTGAACGAAACGACCTGTAATTTAAACAAATGTATAGGACCGAACGAATATCACCGCAATCTTAATTTATTTTTCGCCATTGTATATAGAGTGCAGCGTATGACCACTTGTAAAGAACGTAAAATATATATGCATAAAAACATTCGGAAAACAGCTGGATAATACAGTTGAAGGGAAAGAGATCGCCACTGCATGAAATATTACACCATAGAGGCTATAATCTTCTATGATTTAACCAAAAAATGCTTTCTATAAGCTCAATGAGACGCAATAAGAAGGCACTTCAGAATTCATCAAGGCTAGGGTCAAATAAAGATCAAATATGTAAACGAATGGTTTTTCTGGTTATGTTGTTCGCTTGGATTGTCAGAGAGTCTTTAATCTTATTCCATTCATCTACTTTAGGACTCTCCAATGGTACAATTGAATATTCGTTAATGAGACGATAGGACAAGCCCTTGAGTTATAAAACCATTCAAGTAACTGATCATTATGAGGCACTCTAAAACAACATTTGCAAACAACATTGCTTAAACGGAATGAGTTTCTCTTGTTAATACCTTAATTAAGTCGTTACATTAAAACACATGGGATGGATGGAAATATTTACGCGTCCTTCTTAATTTTTCCTTTTGACAAAATAATCGTTTGGAGAAATCGAAAACGAGAAACAATTTATCGAAAAAGACAGTTTGCATTATGTTGGAGAGAGTGTTGAGCACCATTTTATCAGCGCTTTAGGCAGATGTGTTTTCTTGTTTGTCCGTCTCCTAATGACGTCATCACTTCCTTATAAGGACGAGCTTTAGGACACCACTGAGCCCACCATTATGGGCAATAAAAATACAAATTGGATCTATTTGAAGAAAAATAAATAGCCGATCATTTACACTACGTCCAAGGTCCTGGTATCGTAGACGTCTCGGTTTGACATCTTTAAACGATTTTGTGAAGGTTGCGAAGTTTTCTCATTGCACATCGACTTGCGGTCGCTAAATKGAATCTCGTTTTTGATCTTAAAACGTACTGTCACCAAGGCGCGCGGATATCCTCTCTACCCTACCGAGCAGCACACATCCGCGGTAATTAAACACCACACGACTCTAGGTCTGTGGTATGGCTATACTTCCTTAGCTGTCATGTATGACCCGGAATCGTAAGACATTTGTCACGTGATCTTTATCTTTGGCTGTCCAAAATCTCCAGACAGCAAAGCAGTCAATATATCATGCATGTTCGAAAAGTCAGCGGAAAACAGAGCTCCGTGAGAATACTACGTACGCAGTCATTCAAAGTCTTTCCTTATTTTTTCTCTCTGATAATTTTCTTCGACTGAGTATATGACGTTTTCATCATGGTTAGTAGAGCAAGACCCCTTTACTAACCATGTTTCTGTGCATGGCAACCATATGCTGGTCGATATAATCGGCGAAAAATATCTATAATGTGACAAGAATTCATTATCGGTATGGAGCATTTAATCAAGTCGCATAATCTTCGAGACTCGTTAGTTTTGGTGAGAATATTTCAAAGCTGATGCATTTGTTATGGCAGTTTTCGGATATTTTTGACGTACAACTGACGTCACCGCCGCCATCTTGGATTTATTGAGAATACGATTTGACACTCATTTCCAGTATTTTATCCCAGTAAAAGAAGTTGATAACGACCAAACATCAATTTGAAGTCAGACTTAATCCCTAGTTACTAACATCAACTTCAAATCAGCCCAAAATTTCCCTCAAAATATTGTTTTTTTTAATTGCAGTTTTTTGATTGACAAATTTCGAGGGTCGCACTTCAACGATAATGGTAGTAAATACTATTCATGATCCCCAGAATGTGACTTCAATCTGGGGTGAAAACAATGAAAAAAAATCACGCGGAAAGGTTTTCAAAGCTACAGGAAAATGAAACTTTTGTTTTTTGACCCCCAGATGTTGGTTGATATAACAAAAGCCAAGATGGTGGCTGTAATGACCACTGACAGAGTTATAAACTATATGAGATGTAAGCGCTTCTTTATTAGTTTATCATTCACTCAAAAATAGCATGGATGAAAGCTGTCTATGTAACAAGAGTACAGCTGCACGAAGGGAACAGACCCTTTTAGCTTGGAAGGAATGTTTTTCCATTTCAAGCCACGTTTCATTCCCTATAGTGTCATTGCCATGAATAGCGCAGTTTTAGTATAAGTGTGAAAAGCTTAACTTTCCATCCAATCAAATGCCCGAAACACGGCTCGGAACACGACGCGGACACGGTCACGCCAATGTCACGGCACTGTCCGACCAATCACATTGCGCGACGAAAAATCCCCCAATCAAAAGTATAGAAAACATCACGGTCGCGGCAAGGCACGCATACGGCACCGACTTTTTCACAGTCATATGAAAACTGCAATATGGATGCAACTTAAACAAAGAAGCTTAATAAGAATAATATTATCAAAACAAGAAAATGACACGTGGTCTGAAATGGGGAAACATTACGCCCAAGTTAAATAGGTCTTTTACACCTTTCTAGTTAAGTTTTATACTGAAAGTGCGTTATAAATTCACTGGCTCCTAGTCTAGTAGACGACATCAAAAGAGGTCAGCTCTTTTAGATGATCGCCTAGTCTAAGTTCTACGTTCTACGTTGATGGTTATTTAAGTTAAAGAACTTAAAACCTATCTACAAGAGAGAGTAGGCGTTTCTTTTCTATTTCCCGGCTTTCTTTGCTTCTGGCGTCTCCCACACTTGCAGCATACTCTGTGGTGAGAAAAGGAACGCACTTTTAACGACAGAATATTAGGCTTTTTAACCATTTGGAAAGATAATAATTAAGCTTATGGGTCATCTTCAGGACATCAAATTAGTATATATAAGTTAAATCAATCAGGGAACTGGGAGGGAGAACCAATCAAACAGATAGATCAAACGTGTTCTTTAAACAGGTAGAGCAGGGTTTTTTTGGAGGGAAAGACTGTGGTCAAAGTGAGACATAGACATGTAAGAAAATAGCACCTTATTAACGTTTAACCATCGCTCAAAAAATCATGGATGGATGAATGGATGGATGAATGGATGGATGGATGGATGGATGG